ACTCTTTCCTGCCTATGCAGGGGTTTGAACTCGATGATCTATTGAGGTCCCTTCCGACCCTAGCATCTATGAATCTATGAATCTTCAGCCTGGAAAAGCGCAGGCTCAGGGGGTACTTGGTGGCTGCCTATAAGTACATAAGGAGTGTGTACCAGGATCCGGGGGAACATCTGTTCACCAGAGCACTCCAAGGGATAACAAGGAGCAACGGTCATAAACTTCTCCATGAATTTTTTAGGCTGGTCATAAGGAAAAACTTCTTTATTGTCCAAGCCCACAAGGCCTGGAATAGGCTCCCTCCAGAAGTGGTACAGGCACTTACTCTGGACTCATTCAAGAAACATTTGGATGCTTATCTTGCTGGGATCCTCTGACCCTAGCTGACTTCCTGCCCCTGGGGCAGGGGGCTGGACTTGATGATCTTCAAGGTCCCTTCCAGCCGTAATGTCTATGAAATCCATGAAATAATATTTTCTCTTATATTATTTACTGTATTCACTCCTCTTCAGTTCTGGAACATGCTTTACAATAACACTATGCAAAGTTTGATTATTGCCTTCTATGATAATATAGCTTGCTATTCTACCTATTTTAGGTACTTATATGGTTCTCATCTGCATAGAATGTGTTCATCTCACATTCTTTGATGTATTTATTCTCCCAATCTCCCTGTGAGGTAGGGTAGTACTATCAACTCCAGAGGAAATCAAGGCACAGAGAGAGTGACTTGCCTGAAGTCATACCAGAAATCTGTGGAACAGTCTGGAATTGAGTCTGGGTATCCTTTCTCTCGCTATTAGGGTCGATATTTTTTTCCTGATGCTGCACTTGGGACTTGGTAGCAAATGATGATTATTAGCACATTTTTATGTTTTTGCAAAAATTATTATGATTTCATAACTCAGCCTGAGCATACTTTAATGGAAGTTGTCATGCTGCTATTTTCTACTGAGGGGCTTAAAACTGGGAAACTAGAGGGAATTTCCAGGGGAGGGAAGGGGACTGTGGACCAGTTCAGCAGCTTCTACCACTGTCATTCTGCTTGAGTCTCTGTTGACAATTCAAATTGCCCTTTTCCTGTTTAAATCCTAAAAGAGATGCAGTACAATTAGTGCCTGCTCTCCTCTCTGTTTTATCTCCTTTAAGGACAGAGTGGTAGGGGGAAGTGTCATTTACTCCTTGCTGCATCAAAACAAGAGATTAATTCCATTCTATTGAGTGAACATGAACTGTCACATCTGCCTAATCCAGGCATCTACATCACACTTCACAAGGTTGTCTATTAAGTTCACAAATTGTGAAAGAATCTCTTTTGTTTGTCTGATTTGTTGTAATCACAATCATCATTACAAGTACCTAGAAAGGAGGCCAGTGCATTTTAAAAACTGAGAAAATATGCATTACTTTTACTCTAGCATAAGGTAAGGACAGATCCAAAATCTTACTCTAAAGTAAGAAGCGACAGTCTGTGTTTTCATATTGGTTGTCTCTCTCGGATGATGTGTTGTATCTTCAGTTTCATTCTGTAAACATGAAAAAAGAAAAAGACACTTCTTATTCTTATGGCCTGTAGTGTATTTTGCATCAAAACAAAGCACCCCTTAAAAGACTATCTTTTATAAAGGATGTATGCCAAACTGTAAGGGCTATAGAATAATCACTCACAAAGACAGAAATTGTTGCACCAGTATATTACTTTTCATACAATCTGTATATGCACGCACGCACGCACACACACGACACAGCTTAAAAACTGAATGTCTAGATAAAAACTCAGAAATAATGTGATAAGAGGAAAAAGTTTTTTCCCCCTTATATTAAGGACTGCTGCAGCTCTGTACATAATTTCAGCACGCTTTTATTTTGCTTCTCTAGGGAGCATGATTATTCCCCAAACAAATATTTAAATGTTTTCTATTTGACTACAACAATACAGCTAGGAAACGTTTTTCTGAAGTAGCAATAAACTATAGTCAGAAAGAAGGGAAAATGTAGGTTTTTACCTCACGGAAGGAATACGAATTGCACAACACAAAGAAATCCAGCTAAGCAGAAAAGAAAATAGGAGAGGGAAAAAAAACCAAGGAAGGGGTTACTTGCTTACTGTTAGTAGTGATAATATTGCCATTGTCTACTTTAAATAAGAGTTCAATATGCTGCAGTGAAACTAGGTTTCTTACCTTGGTACGGCTGATTGATTTCTGGGGAGTCCACATTTGGTAATTTATTGCACTTTTGCTTTTAGTATGCGCCAGGTTACCTAAGGAGAGATGACAGGAAAACAACCTACCAAAACGTTTACATCTCAGCTAAATGAAGAACCACCTTGTGCAGGCTCCTGAGGTCATACCTCTGTATATTTCTGGCTTCTCCTTGTGTTCTTATTATTCCTTCCCAAGGATAAAAAGGGAAAACTTTGGAAACATCACAAGAGGATGAAATAGGGCTCTGCCATGACTGATTAAAACAAGCAGCCTCTTCAAACATGAATACCCTGATGCTCATTTACACTAAAGTCCCCTTATATTGCCCTGGCAAGTAAATATAGCTTCAACTGTGACTTAAAAAAGGGAAATCAGTTTTGTAGTTCCACTTCTAGAGTCCTTAAAATCAAGAAATTTTGCTATTGTTAGGATGCCCAGGATTAGCTGAATTAAGGCAGTTTAAGCAGAACAGGGTTTTTTAAAGAAATACTAAAAATACCTTATGAATGCCTTAACAATTCCACTTTGGGCTTAGTTAATTCTAACCATTTTAACCAACTGACATTGCTTTAGCTGCCCACATACAATTTTGGGAATCTCAACATTGTACAAATTGTCTTCAGCTTCTACAGGGATGGGTGGATAAAATGTAGACAGACAGGTTATAGCACATTACTGGTTGTACGTTAAGGGTTCATGGTTATTGTGATAGCACCAAATACCAAAATCCCCATTTGCTTTATCAGAATGCTAATAGGGTTAAGTATAGACAGTCAAAAAGCCTGAGGCTGAATCGATTCAATCTTTGCAGGGTAGCCAAAGCTGCGTAGACTGAACCGATAAGCAAATGAACAGACATTCAATTCCGATTCCAGAAATGCAGCTACATGCCTACAGTGGCCCAGGCCAGAAGCCAAGAGGTGATAGAGCAAATCTACCTGCTCCACTGGAGCAGACAACTTGGGCCAACGCTAGCTTGCCCACCCACCCTGTAAGGGGAGTTTTGCTGGGGAGGTGCAAAGCATCCTGGGATGCTGGGGAATTGCGAGTTAATTTGAAACTGGAGGGGATCTAGGACAATAAATTGACTTAGCCTAAACCAGTTGAGTCTCATAGTACATCCATCCAGGTTTCTCTTAAATCAGTTTCGGACATTTTGAAAGTGGTTTATGTGCACTGAACTTCTGTTGTGTTACAGATTTGAACTGGTTTTTGAACACCTATACCCTTTTATGTGTAATTTCTATCCCTAGCCTAGATGCTTTTGCCCTTGTTTTAAAAGTTCCTGTGCACAGTCCACATTTTAACAATTCTTGTGCTCTGCATAAAGTCAAGGAGACAAAAACATTCAGAAATAACCTTGCCATGGTTTATTTCACACTTTTGCTTAAGAGTGTTTCAGTCACTGGCTTCTTCCCTAGAAGTGCAATGTGTGTTGGTTCCACAGAAATAGCACCTTTGTATCACAAAAAATTCCAGTACCTGGATAAAATGTGTGTAGGAATGGCATTGTTTCACAATGAACTTCCCTGCTTCTTCTGACTTAAAATAGACTTAATCTTAATTCCCTATGCAGCTAAACCTCCATCTGTAATCAAGAGGACTTTTGTCTAAGAAAAGACTTTAGATTACTTTATGGTACAGTAATATTTTAGAGTAATATCTAATAATGTCTTCAACTTTAACTTTCTTTTTATAATACCAATATATCTCCCAAGTAATTGTCCACGTAACTGCAGTAGAAAAATATCTATTTTTTGTCACAGATGTCTACTACATTATAGCCCATATAATAAAGAAAAAAATGGATCTCATTTAGACGTGGCAGCATATACACAGAATTACATACACAGAATATTGCAACAATGTTTAGCTCCATAGCAGAACAGAATAAATTATATTGGGCTTTCAGGTTCTTATTTATGGAAAATTTATGGAAACTAGATATGCAAGATACAAAGGATATGGTTTAATTAGGTCAAAGTTTATTTAATTGAATTATCTGGGAATTACCTGGCAAGAGCTTGTGCAGTGCCGGTCATTGTTGTTCCTTTGTTTCTACCTGTTTGGCAGGGAGGAGGGAGGGAGCTCCTATCAACTTCCTCTCTGTTCTAGACCTGATCCCAGACTGCTACTAAGACTGTACCTCCTTCTCATTAAGAAGCTGGAGAAATGAGGCATATTTGATGTCAGGAGCCTATTCCCTAGATTCTTCAGACAGTGAGACAAGGCTCTATCAGGCAGAGCAGGGCATTCATATATGCCTTACCCAGAGCATGCCTATAGCTTATTTGAACACCTTGGGCCAGGTTTCAACTTAGGCAGGGCCCTCCTCTGCCTGCCTTCTCTTTGGAACTGGAAGGATGTGGGAACCTCAGAAGGAGTCCCAACCCATTTCTTCCGACTTGACCAGATACAGCTCTCCCCACTTTGAGCCTGACATCTGTATATATTCTAAGGAGCAATGCCACTAAGCTATGCAATATATCAAGCAGCCAGACAAAAGCCAGGAGTAGTCAGTAAAAGCAGTTGGTAGTTAGGTTGAAAAAATCTACCACAAGTACTAGGAAATATGTTACCTGTTTTTGTAAGTGGATGGGTTACCAGCTGTCTGGTCAGAGTGTTTTCGGAGGACCGCAATAGCAGCACAATGTCAGCTGGCAGGGTATCTCGGTTCTTGGCCAAGAACCCACTTGCATTATAAAGTACCTGTTGAAAAAGTATGTTTGGAGTCCCTCGGTTTTTGATATATTAGCCTTTTTCCAAGTGCTATAAAGCTATAATATATCAAAAGAGAAAATATGCAGCCTTGGGGCGCATCTAGGTAAACGCGTATGTGTGGTATGCAGTGCCGCACACTGCACATGCCACACATGCAGGCATTTCCCATGTTGCTACTTTACAGTGCAGGGGGTTTTTTTGAGCCTAGGAGATCTCAGCGTCAAGAAGCCTGCACCTAAAAAAAGTGTGACTGCAGCTCCCAGAGGCCCCCCAGAACCCCAGGTAAGGCTGGACCTAGCCTCCCCTACCCCACCAGGGGCAACATGCCATGAGCCAGACTGCATATGGCACACCATGTGTGCTGCTGCTACTTGTCTCTGCAGAGACATGCCCCTAAGGGCCAGTAACTGACTTTTTCTCTTTTGGCCATTGCTAGTCTTAATTTTGAATGTTCAGAAACACCAAGATACTCACCATGAAAGCCAACCTGATAACTGTCATAAAGCATTTGTTTACTACTACATAAAGCATTTGTCACAATCAGACTTAACGTTCTCGCTGAGATCTATGTATTTCCAAAAGGGCAGATTTTCAAATGCACATGGGGAAGGCAGGGGTTTAGGTTGTAGCCGTGTTTGTCTAAGGACATAGGCAGACAAGGTTCCTTGGGTGAATTTGATATCTTTTATTAGACCAACCCAAATAGTTGGAGAATATTTATTAAGCAAGCTTTCGGGTTCAAAAACCCTTCGTCAGGCTAAGGAAGTTTCAGCAGTTGGTGTGTGCTCTTCCTGGATGGAATAAAAAGGCTGGGGAGTCAGTTGCCATGGGGAAGGCAGGCATTCAGTTCTAACTAAAAATCATTGGGAATTGAGCATCTCACTCAGAATTGTGCCTCTAAGACTCAGAATGCTAAAACAACAACCTGTATAATATAAGTCTCTTACCTTTCCTGCATAATGGTAAATCCCAAAGTTTAGGTCTATTCTTTTGGGCCTCCAAAAATATTTTGACTTTAAATTATCTTCAAATTTTTCTATAAGCAAAAACACATTGCATCTTATTAAAGTAATTGTAGAAAACTGGCCATAAATCCATAGTACTTTGAAGCAGGGATCTACTAAGGAAACTTAATTGGCTTTTCGAGCAAATGCAGTGACCTGAAACAGATCCTGTCATTTTTTAAAGAAAAAAAACACCCTGCTAACTAGCTGGTCTTGTGTTTAAAGCAGTGGACAAAGCTTTAGGAGCTCTTGGATCCATCATTTGCTCTATCAAAAACTTCACATGACTTAACCTTGCAGTTTTGAAGTGAAAATTAAATTTAATTAAAATTAACTTTTTTTTGGTTTGAATTAATTTTAACTTGAAAAACAAAAGGCACTTCAAGACTTTTATAGTTACATGACGACTAAAATAAGGCCTCTTGTACATGGACATGAGAACCAAAATAATTAAATCAATTATAATCAAAGTAGCTTATACTTTGAGCCTGTGGTAGATTTTCTTACTCTAAAATAAGTGTTTCCAAATAAAGAGCTGAATTGAAATATGTATTGTTAATTCAGGTTTCAGTTCCAGTATTTATATAGACAATCCCTAGAGCAGTATTTGTTTTGTTTTAACTGATACTTCAACAGGTTCTGTGTTTTGGTGCAATATTCATACCCACTTCTTTACACAGTTAGGATCTCCTGATAAGAGCTGACTCAAGGCCTTGTGACACCTTACGCTGAAAGCTGTAAAAATGTTAATTGGCTTAGTGTTGTTGGCCTTAGTGAAGCAGTCACACGTTAAGGGAAAAAACCTGCTTTGACTGCCATTCACCTGCACATCTGTGGCTTGCCGCTATAGGCTTGGTGAGCAGGAGCAGGACTAAGAGCTAGGGGAAGGACAGGTGCACTGCTACCTCTGGGTAGAGTGAGTACCAAAGCCCCAGAAGGCCTGGTGGCATGATGGCTCCTGCCACCACTGGGACTGGCTGTGCTCCTGGCAGGAACAGAGCAAACCAGTCATAGTGTGGGGAGGCAGGGGGAACTGCTGGGACTGGCTCTGCTTCCAGGAGCAGAACTGATCAGAGTGGCAGTGGGGAGGCAGTACTGCCCCTTCCCCCCACTCATACCAGTCATTCCAGTGGTGGTGGGGAGGTGGTGTGTCTCTTGCTCTGACCAGCTCATTCTGCTTCTGCCAGGAGCACAGTCAGTCCCAGCAGTGGAGGCAAGGAAGTGCCCTCCTCCCTCCCCCACTCCAATTGGCTTGCAATGCTCAGGCACGGCTGGTGAACTCAGACTGGTGGAGTGGGTGGAGTGGCACACTGGAGCGGAGGGGGCTTGCAGCCGCTCGGGAGCAAGGGGGTTTGCAGCCTTCCTGCTCCTGGCCAGAGTTCCTGGACGGCCTGCATACAGCACCCTTACTCTCTGTAATATATTTGGAAACTGGAATATTATACAATGAAAACACAGGCAGCTATCATTAAAATACATTTTGCACAGAATATTGACACAGAAGCATTGTAGATCTCTTGAAAGACAACATTCACATACCTACAAGTGTCCGATCTGTTGCTTGTGGGAATCGACTTTCCTCATCCAGCAGGGACAATAAGCCCATTGGTTTCTGCAGGAACATATCTAAGAGAGGCCTGTTGTCCTCATATTCTATAACTCTTGCATCAACACCTTCATATAGATATTCATTCTGCAATGAGTGATAAAAGGCATGTTTTGCTCACATAGTTTTGGAATGTGATTTACAAACTATTAGGTGAAAATAATACGTAAAGAACTCTAGACCCAGGAAGAGCTTTTTGGGCATAACTCACTTTAGTCTGAAAAACCTGGAGGAATGAGGGAAAGGGCAATACATTTAAAAAGCATTTAATCACTATATATGGTCTAACAACAAGAAATACACACATCCCAAAATCTATTTCACCTCTCAGTCAGATAGAAACAAGAGGAAAATGAACAAAATCAGTGTTGCCAATCTGAAAGCAGGCCCAGAAAAATAGGATTTTAAAACCTGCCTGAAAGCCATTGCAGAATTCATGGTTACCACCTTTCTTTTGGCTAGATATATCTCATTTCATAGTGATTTCTAGTCTTCTCTCTAAGCAAGAGAGTAAGAAGTCTGAATCTCTTGAATCCTTTTGCAGGAAACCCATATCTTGGGTGCAGGCACATAATATTAAGTCCATTCACTTTTGCCCATTTACTTTTGAGCAGTGAACAAGTGGAGTCTTGATTTTCCCCAGTGCTTGAGTAGCAGAGTCAGTGCAGGAGAGGAAAGTAATACATTATCACTGGTAGAGACAAACAGAAAATTACTAACCCTGTCGGAGAAGAAGAAGAAATAGGAGAATAATTGTAACTACAGCATGTTTCTGAGTTAGTTTTTCCCAGGGATAATCCTGGAGAGGGCTATTTACACAGCACCTCTTGCTCAAAACTGTGGCTGTATCAGCAAGTCTAGTTGTTATGATTATGTTCCAGCTGATATTGTTAAAATTGGCAAGAAGCTACATGTAAATAAATTAAGAATCTGCTTCTGTAGATTTTGATATTCAGAAAAGGAATAAAATGTGTCTTTGATGCTGATTTATCCCTGAACAAACATTCCTATGCAAAACCATTAATTATCCTGTTTTCTAAAATTCAGTTGCTTTGAAAGGAGCCAGGTTAAGAGCACTAGCATCTGAACATTATTTGTAATAGTTAAAGGAACTCCTCAATAGCTACACAGCTTGGTAACAGCAGCACAAGCTTCCCTGTGCTACCCTCCTAATTCACAGTTCTGACCTGGAAAGACCACCAGAGTAGTTCAGTCCTCTATGACTGTTCAGTCCTCAACTTCTTTATTAAAAACATCCAAACAGAATGTCAATTAGTGCCAACAGGCTTTGTGATGTTAACATCTAGGCTATGGAATGAACCATAAAAATCACTTCACATTGGAAGTTTCCTGGTACTTATCAGTCACTACTGAACTGGTTTTAAACCACTGGCTTGATAGCAAGATACTCCACATTAATATTCCCCTATATAATACTATTCCTTCACCCATATTATTGTGATATATACATTTTTTTCTTTTGCTTCATGTGACAAGTATTATAAAGCCATAATGAAATAGATTTTATTTGAATTATTTTTTAACATCACCATAAACAAGACACCGAGTCAGCTGCAGGAGGCTGTAATCCCTGATGATGTTTTACAGCATCAGAGTTCCCAAAAATAGCAGCTGCTCACTGAGATGATAAAACATAATCCACAAGACAGGATTCACATAGATAGGATGTCACAAGGAATGACTGCATTACACTGGAGTACATGTAATAGGGTTGGAGCATCTCAGGCAGTATTTCAGGCTATGTGCTGTGATCAAAACCAGGTCAAATTACTTTGTGTAAACAGCAGAATTATTACATGCAGTTAGCAAATTTAGATTGTGCTTGTAAGAACTGTAATGACCTTTTGCTGATGCCTCTTTGGTTTGAAGGTTAACTCCAAAAAATGTATTCAGTAGTAGCCTTTTATCAGCTTAGTAAAGCAAAAGATGCAACTGCAAAAGTTAAAAATAAACACTGTGGGCTCCGTATACAAAAAGCAGAGAAAGTTGGAGTACTCCTGACTAATGTATTTTTCACCTGTATTAACTTTATATAATGGGTCACACTAAGAAGGTCAGCTGCTTGAAATTGCCAGCAACACAATTTTTATCTTTGTTAACACAATGCAAGCAGTAGAAGAATGAACACAGCTTGAGAAGAAATGGAAATCTGCCTGGTTTTACCTAGGGTCTATGGAGATCCTTCTCAGACGAAAGGTCAGGTCCCTGCACTGTAATGGACCTTATCAAGTTTTGCTGGATCTTATCAAATCCTTTCTGCAGGGTCAGGTTGCGTGAAAACCTGCACCGTCATCAGTCAGGACCAGGGTCTATGGCAAAGCCGGCACCTCAGGTCTCCCATCCTCACCAAGCATGAGAAATGCCCTCTTAGGTTAAGGACAGATATTACACATCAACCGGTTTAAATGATCAAAAACTGGTTTAAACCTGTAACAGAACAGATGTTCACTGCACATAAACCAGTTTGAAAATGGTTGAAACCACTTCGAGATAAACCTGGTTGAATGTAGTATCAAACTTAACTTATTTGGGTCAAACCAGTTTATGAAACTTCTGTCCCAGACCCCTTCCTGATTTCAGTTAAATCAGAGTCCTCCAGGATCCTGGCATGCTCTCCGGGCTGGGTGGGGCTCTCTGCTCCAGAGAGCTGGGCTGGCCCTGACCCTCTACTCCCTGGATGCAGCTCTGCCAGAGACTGCAAGTACAGCAGTGTCTGCATGGCTCCCTCCTGCTTCCCCCAGCCCCCTCACCGCTCCATGATGAAGCAGGGATTTCCCCCTCCCCTTTGCCTTACACAGACACCTTTCAGCATTAGCTAGCATACCGCATGGTGGCTACAGTTCATGCTGCAGGAGACAGGACAAAGGCAGACAGGAGAGTGTTTCTTAGGGCTTTTTGGAGCTAATCAACAGGTAGCTGGTAATGTCCCTCCATTCCTTCTGCAGTAAAGCAGTTTAAGAAGAGCTTGAACTAATGGAGAGAGGCTTTGTTTTCTAATAGGGGTGATAAACAGTGTGTTATCAATTCCCTGCAAGGCTGCTCAGAAGGGGGACGGGTAACACCATCAGAATGTCCTGCCAGGGCCTGGCCACGCCCCCCTCAGCTCAGCTCTGTAAAAAGGGTGGGAGGGCTGCTGTAGCTTCTAGTCTGAGCCACTGCAGGCATGTGCCTGCATTTCTGGGATGTCTTTTCAGTTACAAACTGGTTTAGCCTAGCCAGGTTAGACTAACCTGCAAAGATTGAATCAATTCAGGCTCAGGCTTTTTGAATGTCTGTCCCTAGCCTTAAAGGTTGCAGGCTCTGGTCTATAGAGGCTGTGTCTTACTTCACATCAACACAAGAAAAGTTTGTGTTAAACAAGAGGGTAGGTTGTAGCCGTATTGGTGTAAGGACACAGGCAGACAAGGTTCTTTGAGTAAATCCAATATCTTTTATTAGACCAACTGAAATGTTAAACAAGAGAGCTTTTATTTTTAATCTTATATTTACTCAGCAGCAAACAAATGACCTGCAGCAAACAACTGCCTGTTCCAACAGACTTGCTGCTCAATGATGAGTACGGACCTACCCAAATCGCGATTGCAAGTATTTCATGGAAATCAGGAAATCGGGCGATCTCTGTGAAATCCAGGGGAGAGGGGAGGGGGTGGGAAACTTACTAAAAATAAAATGCTGGCTCCTCAGTGGGAGCTAGCAGTCCTTCCCTCAACACAGCTTGCTCAGGGAAAGGGCAGAGGGAGACTGCCAGTATGAAAGTTAACAGGAAAGATGACTGCCACCCCCAGTGGTGGGGGGTGGGGGCACAAGGGCCTGTCAGAGGCATGATGGGGCCCTTGCCACAATAAGCCTTTGAAAATGGCAGCTGGCCCTGCAATCTGCCCACAAAATGAGCTGGCTGTCTCCTTGAGTAGACTCCTAATAATGAGTGGGTCTGAGGCTAGGAATGTATGTTGCATTTGTCCCAGGACAAGTTGTACACCTCTGTTTGTCCTGGAACAGAAATGTTCTAAGCTAGACATGTATACACATCACTTTTCCAATCAGGGTTTGGTATGCAGCTGAATGCACTGCTGCTTTTCTGCCATTGATTTAATGATGCAGCCCACAGACAACTGTTCAGATGTGTTTCACAATGTCTTGAGACAAACTGTTAGCACTTCTTATCCCTAAACCTTTTAAGAATTTGTCCTGGAACAGTGGACATAGACATGTGAACGATTGCACTTTGTCCTGGAAAAATATGGTTTCCCCTGGGACTAGTGTGACATCTGTTTGGAGCATGAATTCTACAGGCACATTCATCATCCCTTTGCCAAAGAGAAGCTACACCACAGAAAAGCTGTGGGAAAGCCTGATACTGGCAGCCTGGTACTTCTGGAACCATGCAATCAGATGACAAATACTTGGGCCAGATTATGGTGCTACTGGGATGATGGGCCAGTCCCCTGGAATCTGCAGTGCTTGGGATAATTTCACAATACAACTTGTGTGGTCTACTCCTAGGCAAACAAATTCTACAATGGGATCTTCATAAGGTTTTGCCTGACTCCTGTTCTCTACCTAACCTATACCTACAATAATGATCTGACTCCAACATATTGGGGCAAATTCATTATTTATTTTTAACACAAGGTAAATAAATAAAATCCCAATTGTTATGGATGGCTGCATAGGGTTGCTAGCCATGTATAGAAATAGTCTGAACAGCTATTATAAGTCTAAGTGCTTCCCGCACCACAAACACAGAGATATCTATACTCACAAGTAGAACATTCCTCCACCAGTTACCCTGTGAAATACTGTACATTGGATGGTGTTCATCCTGGAATGACCAACACCCAAAGACAGCAAGTTGAGGAACAAATACCACAGCACTGCTTAGCACTATGGGCAGATCCAGAGGGGGTGTGGTAGTGTGGCTGCACTCCCTTTTGGACTGGACAGCACCAGGAGAAGTTTTGGGGATTTTTTTTTAAGTTTCCAAAGCAGGTAAGAATCTCTCACTTCCCCTCCCCTCCGTCTTCCTGCTGCTTTCTCCACTGTTTCCAGGGGCAGGGGAAGCTTCA